ATGTTATATGCTTTATGGCAAAGCTTTCGGAGTAGGATATATCGTTTCTTATTGTCACATAAAATGCTCAAAACTCTGCATAAATAATTATTATGATGTCCTCTGTCTCAGATACAGGTCGATTTGGGTCAAGATGGTCGTTAATGATTTCATCATAAAACACATCCAACTCTGTGAACGTCTTCTCAAGCCTCGACGATTGTCCTGTTAGCTTATCGAGCCACCCGATGGAAGGGAAATAATCCGTAAAGAAGAAGGCCGTGAACATGGCCTGAGCATCGTTCAGAAGGTTGTGAAATCTGCTCCTGTTTGACCCTTCATCTTCATCATACCTGTGATACATTTGAATCAAACAATAAGGTACTTAGTTCAACTTTTTCCTTTTTGTGTTCATGCTTTGCAATTTTTTTGTGTGTGCTCCACGTATTATTTTGCGTAGCCAAATTTTAATCTAAGCTCCTAGGGATATTGAATCAGATAAAAGCATTTCTAAGCTTAATACTTGAGCAACTAAGCAACTAACCAAGTATATATATATATATATATATAATATATATATATATATATATATATATATATATATATATATATATTATATATATATTATATATATATATATATATATATATATATATATATATATATATATATATATTTAATTCACTTTAATTACCCTGATCTAAACTTTATTTGTCTAAAATTTAGTTTATAATGCATGTCTTAAAATAAGTCTAGAGTCTAGACAGTCTACTATTTTAAATATTACTTATGTTTTTTTGTATATCTATTACAAGTACTCTCTCCGTCCGTAATTATCTGTAACATTTACTTAAAATGGATGCTCTCTATTATCTGTAACAAATTTTTTTCTTTTCTTTTTTAGTAATATTTAACTATTAATTACCCACTATTACCCACTTTTTTGGTTAGTGGACCCCTCTACCACTGATTACCCATTAACTAAAATCCACTCAAAACAAAATTAAGTGGAACCACTCCTTTTCCCTCCATTTTCAACCTTAATTAAACCCACCAAAACTCAATTAAAACTCCCCGAAAAGTTTTGCCTCAGAGTCCGTGAAAGTATCCTTTGGTGCAGATAGTCCCGGGCGGAGGGAGTATAATCTTTAGTTGTATCTTCTATGAAGTGTGTTCTTTTGTTTTAGAAAATATAATGGAAATTAAACATTTAACATTTCACCAGTCTTCCCTAAAAAAATACAACTTTTTGATAATCCCATAAAAATTCAACTTTTACCCCCTATCTTCATCTAAGATCCATTATTTATTAGTAACCAGTTTTTATAAGTTATATGCAAATGTGGCGCAATTTCATAGGTCTATTTCATTTTTTAAAAAATTGAAAAATAAAAAAAAATAAAAAAAAAAAAAGAAGAAAGAAACATAACCCCAGCCCCGCCCCCTATAAAGCCTAAATGACCGGCCAACCACCCTAATCCCACCCCTGCGCCACCAAGGGCTGAATGGCCACCCTCTTTTCTGCACAACCCCTTCCGCCAGATCAACCTTCCAAAAAAAACCCCACCGCCAACAACCCAACCAACAACACCAACTCTAGCCACCCCACCAACAATAGCAGCAGCGCCTTCACACCAAGTAGCAGCCAAACAGGCCACTCAAAGTCGACGACAAATAGCATCAATGTTGACGACGATGATGATCTGAAAACCAGACGACGATGATGAACTGAAAACCCTAGTTTTCAGAGGAGAGAAATTGTTTCAAGTTGCGAAATTGAGGGGATATGTCAATCAAAGGTGAAATCAAATGTTTTTGGGGATGGGGTTTCACCTTAGATATTGGGGTTTTTTGAGTTGGGTGGAATTTTTGGGGCGGCAAGGGGTGGTGCAGGGGTTTTTGTGAAGGGGGTTTTCGTGGTTGGAGTGGCTCAGGCGACAGGGGTGGTGGTGGTGGCAAGATGTGGTAAGGGGTGGCCATGGAAGGGTTGTAGTTCACGGGGCAAGTGGGTTTTTGGGGTGGTGCTATGGTGTTGGATTGGTGGATAACTGGCTATGGTGTGAGGAAAGAAATTTAGGGAAAAAAAAAAAAAAAAAAAAAAAAAAAAAAGAGGGAGAGAGAAATTTTAACCTGGTTACAGATCAAATGGATAATTAAATAAAGATAGGGGTAAAGGTAATTAAATTTAAATCAAAAGGTCACAATTAAATTACAAACCGTACTCAATTTGTAGTTATGTTAAACATGGAGGAAATACTGTAGCCCACTTACTCGCTAGGTCAAGTTTGTTTGACTCTATGAAGCACGTATGTTTTGATCCGTTTCTGAAAAGTATCACAAGACTTGAATTGCGGAAATAGACTTACTTTAATGCAAAGCTCAGCCGGTTTTCAAAAAAAAATATTACAAGCAGTAATACATACCTCTTGCCAAAGGCAATTCTGCAAATATTGGAGCTTGCAAAACTCATTAACAACTCGCTCAAGTTAACAGTTTCTAAACCAGAAGAAATTTGAGTAGAAATCTTGTTTACCATCCTCAAGACTTCCTCTTGTCGAATCGGAGTAAAAGACTCCACTCTTTTAGAACTAAGAAGATGTACAACACATATTTTCTTTATTTCTCTGAAGTATCCATAACTTTGGGCAAAAGCTAAGTCTAACCCTTTATAACTTAGTCTTTGTGTTGCAATCATTGATGGGCGGTAACAAAAGTTAAGATCCTGTGTATGAAGAACCTCTTTCGCTGTCTTGGCTGATTGAACCACCACAGCTGGTGTAGTTCCAAATCGTGTAGTCAAGATAGGACCGTAAATCTTTGCTAGCTTAGCAAAGTAGATGTGAGGTTTTGAAGGGTCGAACTGGTGTAAGTTTCCGATAATAGGAAGCCCTTTAGGTCCAGGAGGAGGATTAAATGATTCATTCTTCCTTCGTTTTTGAAGAAGAAAGATAAGAGAGATTGTTGCAAGGAAGATGAGGAGTAGTATCATGCTATTGGAATAAAATGATTACCTTGGTTTTGGCTTAGGATGTATTATGTAAAGTACTCTGTAGTAGCAGAAAAGTAAAGGTACGCCAAATTAAGAAAAGTCTTCTTCTAACATTGTGTTTTAACTTATTAATTTTTATTTTTTTTGAAGGAAACTTATTAATTAAAATAACTTAAAAAGATAATATATTATATTAGAGGTAATACTCCTTCCGTCTCATAATATATGAGATGTTAGACTTTTTTTCACTAATTTGCATTAGGTTTGCCCATAATTTTGTACTGATATAATAAAAATATATTTTATCGTAAAATATGTTTTTAGATAGGTTTTAATATAGAGTTTCATAATATAATTTTTAAAATAAATTTTCATTAATATTTAATTTTATAAAAGGTCAAACTAGTGCAATGGCATGTGTGCAATGTTTGACTGTGTCATGTATTATGGGATAGATAGAGTATTTTAGACATAATCAATCATAGGTGGCATAACACCACACCCGACCCGATCCGACCCAAAAAATATTTGATTCAGATTTTGGCTCGCCTGGACAAAATATTTTAATATGACTCAATTTTAAAATTTGACCCGATTCTATCTGACCTCACCAAAACCAATCCGGACACTCAAATTGAAAACGCCTATGCATGCCATGACATAGCACCATGTAGCATATGACTTTTCATTATTGTTATCGTTATTTATTCATATACATTTAGATTTTTAACGCTTTGATTTTTAGTCAACAAATTTAAAAATAATCATAAGAGGACAAAGATGGGTTCTATTTGTTAATTTAATTTATAAACATACATGATTAGCCGTTTAATATTTTTTAATAATAGAGATGTATGTCGCACATAGAGGTGTAAGTTTATGATGCAAATCTTTAAATCCGACTGTTTTGAATCGATCTAAAATGGAACTAAATCGTTAAAACCCGTTTTTGTAAATCGATCTGATCTAATTCTTTCTAACCCGAAATTGAAGTGAATCGAATTTGTACGAATCGTTACTAACCCGACCCGTTATCAAGCAAAACTGTTACAACCCAAAACTGAAAACAACCCGAACCGATTACATCTAAACTCGATAGTAACCCGACCCATTTAAAACCGAAAACCATTTAAACCCGGCAAATCCGATAAACCTGAACCGGTCCAACCCGTAACTCGTTGGGACCGAATCATTTATAACTCGTAACCCGTTATGACTAAACCATTTCCAACCCGTAACCCGTTGAGACCGAACTGTTTACGACCCGTAACCCATTGAGACCAAACTGTTTACGATTGGTAACCCGTTATGACTGAGTCGTTTACAACCCGTAGCCCAATATGTTTATGATCTAATCCTTTTCAACCCACTACTCGATAAACCCAACTTATTTATGACTTAACTTGATTATAACATGACCCGTTCCTACCCATCTGACTAACTCGACTCGATAATGATCTGACTCGATTTTAACCCAATATGATTTGGACTGAAATTCGCTTCAAATTGGGTAAACCCATTTTCAAACTGACCAAGTTCAATACAAACCGACTATGACCTGAACCGATAATGACCGAACCCCCGATTTCATCCGATCGATCTATTTGAACCGAAACTCATTTTCAAACCGACCCGATTTAACCCAAACTGATTATGATCCTTACCGATTACAACCCGACCCGATTAGAACCTGAATTGTTTTGAATCGAAATCCATTTTAAACTTGTTTTTAAACCAATCCGATTTAACCCAAATTGATTATGACCGCGAACCAACTTCAATCTGACTCGATTAGGACCCGACACGAAAAAAAAAAATCAAATTGAACTGACGATGATTTTCAAAACCAACCCAAACTGAACCGCTAATCATTTCAATCCATTATAAACCGATCCGTTATAATTCGAAACTGATAAACTCAACCCAAACCCGAACTATTTACCCGAATTGACACTCCTAATCCCACATAATAATTATATAAAAGTAAATATATATAGTGTAATAATCATTGTTTAGCTGTATTTTATTGAATTATTTCAGCTTATAGAGAGTGTAATTGAAATTTTGTTCAACAATAACGACCGACGACCGAGCAAAAACCAATAACATTAGTACATCACATGTGCGATATGAGAGGCCAAAGGCCACATATCTTATATTTCACTCTCTTTATAGTATTAGTTTACTATTAAGCTAGTTTACAATAGTAATTAAAGATTAATTTTTATTTCTTAAAAATCTTCTCATCTACATTTATAATTGTATCACTCGGAAGTCGGAACCAAATCCAACATAATAAATTTTATTGATTAGTAAGGACGTAAGGTCATTTATTATACATATAATCATCCAATTCTTTCAACACTCAAAAAACCCATCATAAATTGAAATTACCAAGCTTCATATTATTTTTTGGGGTGCAACTATGAATATGTTTTTGCCACAAGGCAAAGTGGATTTTTCTTATGCATAGTAATACCAGGCAGTGTATCAGTGTCAATATCTTCACTTTTCATATCATCAGGCAACCCCCAGTCAAAAGAGTATAACAAATTGGCTAGTGCAAGCTCAAAGTTTGCAACACCAAGAAGTATTCCAGGACACATTCTTCTACCAGCACCAAATGGAATGAGCATGAAATCATTCCCTTTGTAATCAATTGAACTTCCTAAAAACCTCTCCGGCATAAATATTTCTGGGTCCTTCCAGTATTCGGGATCTCTTCCAATGGCCCATACGTTTACAAACACTAGGGTTTTAGGTATAATATCGTACCCTTCTATGGTGCATTTTTGGAGAGACTCTCGGAGTACTAGTAACGGAGCTGCAGGTTGGATCCTAAATGTTTCTTTGACAACGGCTTTGAGATATTCGAGTTCTGGTAGATCTTCCACTGATACATAACCCTTATGTCGTGCTGGTGAGTCTCGAATTTCTTTTTGTACTTTCTTCATCGCGGTTGGGTTCTTAATTAGTTCTGTCATCGCCCAAACTACCATGGCTGCACTTGTATCTGTTCCCGCTACAAACATATCCTGTGAAATATAAAATTTAGTACCACAAAATTTATATATGAACATTACTTAGTAAAGTAAGGTAATAAGCAACTTGTTACCATAAGTACAGCTTTGATGTTGTCCATAGATAGATCATACGTAAAGGTTTTCTCTTTTTTGATCTGAAGTAGAACATCAATGATATCCTCTTGCTCAGGTTTAACTCTATTTGGATCTAGATGATCGTTTATGATTTCTTCGAAAAATGCATCTAAGTCTTTGAATGCCTTCTCGAGCCTAGAGGATTGTCCGGTTAGCTTATCGAGCCAGGCTATGGAAGGGAAGTAATCAGCAAAGAAGAAGGCGGTTAACATAGTCTGAGCGTCACTTAGAAGCTTGTGACAATTGTAACCTTCATCATCACTATACCTGTAAAACATCATTAAAATGTTAAAGACTTGTTATGTTGTTTATTTTATTTTATTTTTTTACTTCTTGTCATTTAAAAGCCTCGATCTGTAAATAAAAAACCCAAGTGAAATTTCATGGGAATTAATTGATTTGGGATATTACATGATTTTTGCAAAGATTAGAAAGTACATTTATTAGACTTGTTTGTGTTTGTATATTTATTAGACTTGTTTGTGTTTGTATATTTATTAGAAAGTACACAATTCAATGTTGAAAGGAGATAAAACAAACATTGTCGTATTCTTCTTGAATTAAAGAAGCAAAAAATCATATTCTCATGTCTTTTATATGGAGTATTTAATGTAGGCACAATTTCTAGAAAAATGTCAACAAAATGATCTGATAAAATTAATAAACAATTTTTTGCATAATCATTTAATGAATTTCCTACTCCGTATATTTAATGGTATTGGGGAATTTATGGAACATGTGTAGATTAGTGTACATAAATATGATCGCCTAAAATGAAAATGAAAAATATATTAATTATGGAATAAGGAGTATTATTCTATTCATCCAAAATTAAAAAAATTATTGATAAAATATTAGTACTCCCTCCGTCCCTTTATTAGATGTCTATTTCTAGCATTTATTACTCACATAATAAAGAGAAGTAGACATCTAATTAAAGGATGGAGGGAGTATGAAAAATCATGAAAGTTAAATGTTTGTAATCTAATATGGGATAAAGTAATTAAGAGAGCAGATTATAAGCCGCTTTAAGGTGATCCCTAAAAAATTGATATTTCCGTACCAGTTTTAAAATACTCAGTCAGTAATCATGTATTTCTTTCTTAGCAAAATTCCATGCATCAACGCGCTCTTACTACCACATCTACGCAAGCTAGCTAGCTAAGTAGCAATGCCTAAGCTTATCAACATTTATTACCATCTATCAAACTGGCGTTTAGCTTGCTAATATTTTATAATAATGAGACAAACTTATAGAAGTCATGCTATACATCATCAAATACATTATTAGTAGTAGACATATATAATAATAGTTATAATGTAATATTTTATGACAATTATTTCCAAATCATAAGGTCATGAGAAGTACCTCTTGCCAAAAGCAATTTTGCATATATTGGAGCTTGAAAAGGTCATTAACAACTCGCTCAAGTTAACGACTTCTGAAGCAGAACACTTGGTAGATATCTTATTAATCATCCTCATAATTTCTTCGTGTCGAACCGAAGCAAAAGACTCCACTTTTTTCAGGCTAAAGAGATGAACAACACAAATCTTTTTAATTTCTCTAAAGTAATCAAGGCTATGAGCAAACGTTATGTCCAACCCATTATAACTTAATTTTCGAGTTCCTAATGTTGGTGGTCTATAACAAAAGTTTAGATCTTGTGTTTGTAGGACCTCTTTCGCCGTCTTGGCAGATTGAACCACCAATGTGTGTGCGGTTCCAAATCTTAAAGACAAGATCGGACCATAGATCTTGGCTAGCTTAGCAAAGTAGATGTGAGGTTTTGAAGGGTCAAATTGGTGTAAGTTTCCAATAACAGGGAGCCCTTTAGGTCCGGGCGGAGGGTGAAATGGTTCCCTTTTTTTGTGTTTTAGAAAAAAGAAAATAAGAGAAGAGGTTGCTAGGAAGAGGAGTAGTAGTATCATGTTTTATGGTTTCACAAATTTTTGTTTATGGTTCTTGGCATTTATAATCATGAAATCATGCAAGTACTATAGATAGAAAGTAATACGTTGACTTTTATATAATATGTTGCCTCTCTTTTTTTCTGTTTTTGGTAATGGAGCTAACATGTTGACATGATACGTGAATGATTCGGATCAGTTTTTATTTTCGAACTACAAAGGATGATGTGTTACTTGTCAAGGAGAATAAATAATTAGCTGATGATCATATAATTATTCTACTAAATGTCCATATCTTAAAGATTGTCAAATTTTAAAGCAACCCATGGAAGACACTAAGGGACGACCAGTAATAATAATAATAATAAAATTTAATATTTGGAGAGATGATAATAAATTAATGGCTTAACTACTCTCTGTATTTCATAATAATTAATTAAGACACTTCAACATACATAAAATTGAAATAAAAATTAATGAATTGTTTATCATACTCTGAAACGGCTAGTAAAACGTTTATCATACTCTGAAACGGCTAGTAAAACATGATACTACTGCTCGTCTGCTCTTGTGTAATGTATGGAGTATGTATTATTGTACCACATAATTATATATAGGCTTATAGGCTACACCACATGTCTTTTATTGTTTTCTTTTTTTTTTTTTTTTTTAAAAAAAAGATATACATACACGTCTTTTACTTTTTTTTTTTGAAGAACACGTCTCTTACTTTTTTTTTTTTTTTTTTTTTTTATTTTAAGAACACGTCTCTTACTTCTTTCTCTTTATATGTTTATTTTATTATTACTCCGTAGAATTGATAAATACCCCCTTAGTTTTTTTTTTTTTTTTAATGCATCACTTGGTGATGTGCGGAGTTTTAGGAGAGTAATATAATATTGTGAGTGGGTGAATAATTTATTATACAACATAGTAAAATTAAGATGAGGACCGTAAAAGAGAATATGTGAGAGGGTATAGTTAAATTAAGACAGTGTTATTAGCCCGTGTGATACGCAAATTATTTAAAGTAAAATCAAGTTAAATTACTGAATATTCAATAATTATATAATTCCTTATGAGAAAAAAAAAAGAGTTAAGTGAGGAAAGTTGAACATCACAATACAATTAGATATTCATTAACAAATTATAAAAAATAAAATAAAATAAAAATGAAAGAAACAACATTCTTTACCTAAATTAAATTGCTTATTGATAATTATTTTCTTACCTTTATAAAAAAATTGAATCAACTATAAAACCATATTTAAAAAAATAGTAAAGAAGGGATGTTAGATGACACCTGGATAATAATAAAATATATTGATTATACTTATTAAGTTATAGAGAATGTAATGAAAAATCATTCAATAGTTAAATTGAATTAACAATAAAATCATTTAAAAAAAAAATAAAAAAAAAAGACAAACAAATTCAAGAAGGGATGACCTTGGCATTAATGGTTTAAGTTTTTATAGATTAGGTAGCAACATTTCCATAAGATGGAGCTTTATTTGTTTTAAGTTTTAACTAATAATAGTATTAATTTTTTTATTTTTTTTTTGAATAATACAATTAATCCATTAATAAAAAGTCATACGACATCTACAACGATAATCGAATTTAACAAATACATAATTTGAATCAAATAAAAATTTCCTTCATAAAAACTACGATCATCAAGCGGATCTTGCAATGTAAAACATTTCCCACTTATATCGCTGGAAAATACAGTCTTGTTGGAGAGACAATCTAACGATTTCTTGTAGAGAGGATGATTTCCATCGGATTTATCTGACCGCATTCGAAAAATTGAAAACCTTTGCGACCCCGCATAATTTTCACCAACGAAACAATTCCACGGCAATCCATCAGATCTATTATATCGGATTTTAAGCTAAAGAAATTCCCCCTCAAAAAGAGGAGAAAAACCTTGTCTTTCGAAGGAGATCGAAAAAACCTTGTCTTTCGAGGAAGATCGAAAACCCTTTCTTTCGAGGAAGAAATCATTATTATAAACCAAAAAAAGTGTAAAGAAAAAAAGGTTGGGGCTTTCTATCGATAAAAACCGATAGAAGCCCCTTCAAAAATCAAGAATGGGGGCTAGGGTTTTTTTAGAGAGAATAGAGGAGAGGGGAGAGATACTATTTTATTTTTACTACTAATCAAATTAGTTACGTTATAATAGTATTAATCTTAGTATATAATAGACATACAAATAAATATTTTTGAGCAGCTTGTAATTCACAATTCATATTATTCATACTAAAATTTAAATCAACTGAATTATCGAAAAAATTTGCAAAAACCAAAGAATTGTGGTATGCATATAAAACTTTGTAAACCGAGTTATCGAGTAAAATGAAACTAGAAAATAGTGCGCCAAAAAGATGAATGGACGATATATCGAGATAGCTCAACTGCTAGATCAGAGGACTGAAAATCCTCGTGTTACCGGTTTAAATCTGGTTCCTGAGTGACACATCACATAGGGTTTTTTATGAATTGAGATACATATTCCTAGCCGAGATCACCACAATTGAATTCAAAAAACAAAAAAAATACAAAAAAATATACATATTCATTCCTCTAGCCGATATCACCACAATTGATTTAAAATAAAATAATACAAAAAATAGTTTGATTTTATTAGAAATTAGATTATTTCTGTTTGGGTCCAATTTAGTCCAATTGGGCCTAGATATTAAATGATCCAATTAAAAGCCCAAGGTCAAGGTTCAACTCTCCAATTGTGCTAAAGTCAAAGGTCAGCCCACAAAGCAAGCCAATTGGGCTAAGGCCCAACCTCTCCATGTATGATGAGGTATAAAAGCCATCAATATTCATAAGTTCATTGATATGTTCATTCATATGTTCGTTCATAAATTCATTGATATATTCTGATATATTCCATTAAAGCCTCAAGCAACAAACTCTCTTGCATAGTGTCCTCTTCTTACACATTGTACTGACTTTAGCATCGGAGGGGCCTTCCTCGGCAACACCCCCGAGGCTAGTTTACGTGTGTTTACTATGCAGGAAACCTTCGGCCCAACATAACTTGGACCGAATCCAGTCTTCTCCGTTTCAGCGGACCTTCGGCAAGGTCCCATTGTTTTCACCCGAAACAATTTGGCGCCGTCTGTGGGGAAGACTTTCAAAAATCTTTAAGCCAAATTCCAATCCCAGACCACATCATCTTGCAATTATCTTAGCAGCAATGGCTAAGAACCGCAAGAGCAAAAGCCTCCGTCAAGGAGCGGGCGAAAAGCCTAAAACCCCTACACCATCACCCTCGCCGGACCGGAGCTCTCCCAAGGGTGCCGGCTCGGGGGGAGGATCATACAAGGAGGATTCCCTATCTCCCGTAATTCATGACTCTCATTATAGGCCGAGTCACTCTCGGTCTAGCAGGGGTGAGTCCGATCATAGGACACATTCAGTGTCCCAAAGCCAACCATCGGCTGCCGCCCTCATTCCCACACTCGGCCGAGGACCCCTTTGACGGGGCCCAGCTCGGAAGAGGTGGCAAGAGCGCTGGCAGTACTCATGGAGGCGATGAGGGCACAAAATATGCCACCACCTCGTGATCGAACTCCTCCGCATACCTGGCATCAGCGGAGGAAGTTAGACCGTGATGGTGGGAAGCTTCCTTCCTTCCGGGAACTGGAAGAGTGGGAGGAGGATTCCTGAAAAAATGAAAAACAGAGGAAAAAGAACCCTCAATTTTTAAAAGGATCCTCATCCTCAAGACTAGAAGCGCATAAGAGCAGCAGCTCAGCTTCTCGGCCAGAATCTACTCACCGAGAACCTGAGACTGTTCGCAGAAGTGTCCTTGACCGACTCGGCGGCAAGGAACCGAGCGTGCACAGTCGCCTCTCGTTCCCTGCAGCCGAGGCCCAGACTTCCCAGCCAGGGACGAAAACCACTCCTACCTCTCTAAGAGGGCGGAGCGCGGTCCCTTCGGCCAGGAACAAGGGCAAGGCCGTTATGCTACCCGCCAGTTCACCATTCGAGCAATGGATACTGGAAGAGCGCGTACCCACGGTTAAAATACCGTCGCACATCACATATGACGGGACCACGGATCCGAAGGATCACGTGGCCTCGTATGAGACTCATATGCATCTTTGCCCCAGATCCGAGGCGACTTGGTGCAAATATTTCCCAACCACTCTCAAGGGGGTCGCGCAAGCGTGGATCTCCAAGGGAGTAAGGCAAGGCTCCATAACAGGGTGGGATGATCTATCCTCCAAATTCAGGAGCAAGTTTTCCACGGCAAACCGCCGAGAGAAGACTACCGCAGAGCTCATGAGTCTGCAACAGGGGGAAACCGAAAGCCTCCGAGACTACCTGACCCGTTTCAGTAACGAGTCATCAAGCGTCTCCCAGCTGGACCAGGGGCTAGCCGTTTTCGCAATGCAGAATGGCCTTCAGCCCGGAAAGTTCCTAGACTTCATGGTCATGCATACCCCGCAGACCTTGGAGGAAGCTCTTAATGCTTCGGATAAGTTCATCCGAGCCGAAGAATGGAACAAAGCGAAAACCCAACCTCAATTCGGGGGAGAGAAACAGAGACAAATACCCTTGTCTGAAGGCCAAGGCCATAAGGCAAAGGGAAAGTCAAAGGCCCCGGAGCAATCTTTGGCCAACGACCCAAAGAAGGAAAGATATGCCTCATACACAGGCAGATACGAGTCCTACACTCCGCTCTCTCTTCCACGCGCCAAAATTTACAGCGTGACGAAGGAGGAGCAGAGTTACCGAAAGCCGAGACCACTCCCAGAGTGGTATCAGCGAAAAAATAAAAATCAGTGGTGCGAGTTCCACGAGTCTTCGGGACACAACACTGAGGAGTGTATCCAACTGAAGGACCAGATAGAGGACATGGTCCGGAAGGGATACTTGAAAAAATACATCGCGGATCACCGCGAGAAAAAAGAGTCCGAGAGGTCAGCAAAGGACCCTCGGCAGGACCTCGACTTCCCCCGGAAAAACAGTAAAAAGCCGGAGGGGAAATTCCCTCCGATCAATGTTATCTCGGGAGGAATATACTCTCGGAGGGAGCACAAGCGCCACCTTAGAGCTTTGACTCACCAGGTGA